GCTTTAGACCAATTCTTCGACCACATGAATTCCCTACACCCAGCCATCAGATTTACCATAGAAGTCGAAAAAGATGGCAAGCTACCTTTTTTGGATGTCCTAATAAAAAAGAGACCTGATGGTTCAATGAGCCACTCTGTCTACAGGAAAGCTACAGTACCCTGGTGTCTACAAACTAAGTTGCCTCTGTGGTAGTAGTTACATTGTAGAAACCAAACGACATGTCTCGGACCGCATTCGTGAACACAAAGCAGACCTTAAACACGGTAGGACCAACACCTCGGCCGTGGCAGATCACTGTTATTATTCAGTAGGCTCACATGACATTAACTTCTCCAAGACAGAGGTTCTTTGCAAGCCATCTGGCTACCATGAGAGATTTGTTCATGAGGCTATCCACATAAGCAAACATAGAGACAATTTCAACCGAGAAGATGGATTCTGGCTTAGCAATCATTGGAAGGATTTGATAAACCATTTCGGGTCTTAATTGATTGTTCACGCTTACGGTGGCTTTCAGACAGCATACATTAATTTTTCGTCTCCCCCCTCCTCTTTTCCGAACATAGATGGACTCGTCCATCTAAACAAACTGTCAAATCGCTATCCGTGGCGCTAACGTTTAAAAATAAATAACTACAAACCGCCACTTCTTTCGAATGTTCTTGCCGTTGTTTTTCACACCTGATGATGACTGCTTTTGTTGCAGTTGAAACGTCGTGAGAATTTTATTGTTGTATATATTTTATTATTTTATTGTTTCCCTTCAACGTGACTTTACCGAAAGAACCAACAATATAATAGAGTGTTTATGTTGGGTTAGATCGCATAAATAAAACGGTGTTGTTAAACCCAGCAACACCCAACACACACGGCCAATTAGTAAGGGGGTTTTGCACGTGAACAGAACGTGGCCAATTCGTTACGAGTTCAGCACTAACCGGCTGTGTGTTGGAGAGTAAACCCACCGCAACATTTACAATTCGAGTAATTAGTAAGAAATTACTCTTTGGTTCTTTCGGTAAAGTCACGTAGGTTTAAAATAAAATTAATTAAATCACGACGTTTCGGGCGCGACACCAGCGTCGTGATCTATTAATTTTCTATCTACGTGACTTTACCGAAAGAAACCAAAGAGTAATATTCTTCATTTCTTCATACTTTGATGCTGGCAGGAAAAGAGGTATCACACGATATAGCTGCTCACCGCGAGCTTTCAACGCTCTGCTTCGTGTGGCATTGGCATTGTGCTGTTCGCCTTAAGGCGATGTTGTCTGGCCTGACACTGCTGCTGGTGAGACGAGGCCCTAACGAAGTCTGCTGCTAAAACTAGATTCGAAGCTTTCGTGACTGCAGGGATTACTCTATGTTTCTTTCGGTGAGGTCACGTAGAAATAAATTAAATAATAATAATAGCACACGACGTTTCGATTGCAACACAAGCAACCATCGTCAGGTGCGGATGAATGAGAAAACAAACATTCGCTATTATTCTTTAATTTATTTTCTTTCTACGTGACTTTACCGAAAGAACCAAGAGTAAGTCTGCTGTTGTCTCTCTGGTGTAGGCCAATCAGTCTCAAAGACAATGCCTCGTATAGTATCAGAGCCATGTTCTGTTTGCATGTTCATCGCAAGAATCCGCGCGTGGTTAATGCAGTAACTTGCTTTCCATTCGGTGTTTGAACATCTAAACACAACTCCTTGTTTCATTGCCAGAGAGGGGTAAAACGTCAATTCTTATTGTCCTTATGATGGTATTATACTGCGCCCTAGCGACTAGGTGACGATCTACATTGAAACTCACTCGCCAAGATGGTTTCAGTTCGCAATTCGATTTGATGTATCTATGCTGAACTTTTTTCGCACCGTACGTAGCCAACCGTGTTAATTGGAGGGGAGTGAGGGAGAAGACAACAAACAAATCATAACAACAAGCAGTTCTAAATAAATGAATTTGTCAATCGAGATGATGATTTCAAAATGCATCACAGCTCCCAGTGGCTTCCTCGTATCGCAAGGAAAAGAGCGTTGCAGACGGCCGCAGAAGCAACAGCATCTGAAAGTGCTCGATGCAGTGTGTGAGTCCATGGGTCTCTGTGTGATGAGTCTGTGGGTCTCTGCATGATGAGTTTGTGGGTCTCTGTGTGAGTCCATGGGTCTCTGTGTGAGTCCATGGGTCTCTGCATGATGAGTCTATGGGTCTCTGTGTGAGACTATGGCTCTCTGTATGATGAGTCTGTGGGTCTCTGTATGAGACTATGGGTCTCTGTGTGATGAGTCTATGGGTCTCTGTGTGAGTCCATGGCTCTCTGTGTGATGAATCTATGGGTCTCTGTGTGAGACTATGGCTCTCTGTATGATGAGTTTGTGGGTCTCTGTGTGAGACTATGGGTCTCTGTGTGATGAGTCTATGGGTCTCTGTGTGAGTCCATGGCTCTCTGTGTGATGAGTCTGTGGGTCTCTGTGTGAGTCCATGGCTCTCTGTGTGATGAGTCCATGGCTCTCTGTGTGATGAGTCTATGGGTTTCTTCGTGAGTCTATTGGTTTCAATGTGTGCACGTTTAACTTTTTTCGCACCGTACGTGCTAATCGGAGGTGCTGGGGGAGGGGGGTGGGGGAAGGAAAACAAACTAATAATAACAACGACAAGCAGTTCTCAATAAATTAGTTTGTCAATCTCGATTTGAAAGTGCATCACAACTCCCACTGGCTTCCTCGTATCGGTAGGAAGAGAGCGTTCCAGACGGCCGCAGAAGCAGGAGCAGCATCTGAAAGCGCCGCGCGATGCTGCTGATGATGAACGACGATGCCTTTGTTCGACGGTTGAACCAAGAGCCGCCGCCGCCGCTGCTGCTGCGAGGATGATGAGCGGAGTTCGCGTGATGATGCTTTACGCTCCCTTGACGAGACGTTATTGTAGGCTCCATCAGCAGGAGAAGAGGTCTCATTTGCAAAGTGTGACCCGGGTCCAAAAGAGGCGGTTGATGTGGAGCGCTTCGATGTTGTCTTCCGGCTGAGTCGCTCTTTACAAAATAGCTTTACTTAATGGAAAAATAAACGAAACTATTTAAAAACGCATTTTTTTTTTTCAGCAGGCAAGGCGCCGCTGAGCTATATGCAGCTATTTTGTCAGAAGCGACCTGGCTATCACAGATGATAGCAGGTCAACCAAATGGCTTATCATCATCATGATCACGTGGAAATGGATGACAGTAGCCGAACGACTAGAAACACGTGGTGATGATGTTGATTCTAAAATGTGGAGGGGAATAAACAGGACGACGCCGGAGAAAAATTCACGCGACCACCACGGGGAGTGAGAGACACGCAAACACCAAATATACAGCAGCAGAAGTCGTCACGGGTCGGGATCGAACACCACGACCACCTGTATACCAGGCGAGGTAGTTAACATCTCACCACAGGGAGAGAGAGAGAGAGACGCAAATTCCAAATGACCAGCAGCAGGCGTCAGGGTCAGAGGTGAACCCACGACCTCCTGCATACCAGGCGAGGTAGTTAACATCTCACCACAGGGAGAGAGAGAGACACGCAAACTCCAAATATACAGCAGCAGGTGTCAGGGGTCGGGATCGAACCCACGACCACCTGCATACCAGGCGAGGTAGTTAACATATCCTAGCTACCGTGATGATGGAAGAGAGAGAGACACGCAAACTCCAAATATTCAGCAGGGATCGAACCCACGACATTCTGCATACCAGGCGAGGTATTTAACATCTCTTAGTCACCGTGATGATGATGAGAGAGAAACACGCAAACTCCAAATATACAGCAGGGATCGAACCCACGACCTCCTGTATACTAGGCGAGGTAGTTAACATCTCCTAGCTACCGTGATGATGATGATGATGGAAGAGAAAGAGAGACACGCAAACTCCAAATATACAGCAGGGATCGAATCTATGACCTCATGTATACTAGGCGAGGTAGTTAACATCTCCTAGCCACCGTGATGATGATGGAAGAGAGAGAGACACGCAAACTCCAAATATACAGCAGGGATCGAACCCACGACCTCCTGTATACTAGGCGAGGTAGTTAACATCTCCTAGCCACCGTAATGATGATGGAATAGAGAGAGAGAGAGACACGCAAACTCCAAATATTCAGCAGGGATCGAACCCACGACCTCCTGCATACCAGGCGAGGTATTTAACATATCTTAGTCACCGTGATGATGATGAGAGAGACACGCAAACTCCAAATATACAGCAGGGATCGAACCCACGACCTCCTGTATATTAGGCGAGGTAGTTAACATCTCCTAGCCACCGTGATGATGATGGAAGAGAGAGAGACACGCTAACTCCAAATATTCAGCATGGGACCTTTTTTTTGCCAGTATCAAAGTTTGAAAATATAACAACACTCCAAATCTACAGCAGCAGGCGTCACCAAGGGTTCTGGATCGAACCCACGAACCTCCTGCACACCGGGCGAGGTAGTTAACATTCTCTCCGCCAGTGCTCCAAATGGAACGGACACCACAGTGACAAATCCGGTCCGTCGCTTCGACGATTGCCCATTTTTTTGGTGATTTCGAAAACGTTTTTGGTTTGGACATGTTTGTTTTGTTGTAGTACGGAGTTAGACTGCTGGCCTTAATCTAAGTTTTCTTGTGGTTGTTGTTGTTGTTTGACTTGCATCCCACTGGGATTTTTTGCACACAGCGTTGGTGGTGTACGGTGCTTTTTTTCAGGAATATTTTTTGCTGTTTTTTTCATGGATTTTCTGTTTGCACAGTCACATACGCAGTCACTTTAAGATGTTTTTTTTATTGTTCGTGTTTTTGTTTTTTTGTTTGTTGCGGTCGCACCCGATTCAAGAGCCGAATGGCTCACAGGGCTATACCTAAAATAAACTGAACTGAAAAACTAAACCGAAACCGTCTCGTGCGTTTTATCCGTCTCGTGCGGTTTAACCGCCCCGAGCTCCGCGCGTTGTTGTGAGCGGCGCGGCGGCGGCGGCTCCGCCCCCTTTTCCACGGCCTCCAAACCGTTGCCCAGTGGCGGCGAAGCGGAGAGAGTTAGCGGCGGGCCTCCTTCAACGAGAGGCGGTGCACAAAGTCGAACCTCTCACCGTCCTGAGTTCTATCACGTACAATGTGGAGGACAGACGTCCTGTTGTAAAGCTGTCCGTGCGTGGAGGAATTGAATTCGTGTTGTAGACAAAATAAATACAATTTCCCGTTAACCGCCGCGGACAGCGTGGCGTGGTGGTGCTGGTGGTGGTGTTGGGGTTCCTGTGGACGGCGATGTAAGTCCGAAGGCAAAGAGGTGAAGATTCTAAACAATTTTAATACTTGGACTCGATAAAGGTGAGGGTCTGCGTGGCGAGTTGCGTCGTGGCGTGCGCGCATTTCTTCACAGCCAGCTGAAAGCGCGCTGGCCGAGAGACGTCCCGTCGTTTTGAATGTCCCGCGACGACTTTTACGGCGTCGCAACTTGAAAAAGGCAACTTAAGAGGGGGGAGGCGGGGGACAATGTTGTGTCGAGTTATAAAGTTAAATTGCCGCTCGAGAGAGATAGAGCGATAGAGGGGACGATTGTCTGTGTAGGCTTATGGAGAACTGAAACGTCTTTTTTTGTGTACGATACAACAACAACAACAAAAATGTGGGGATTTTTGACCGCGTGGATTTGACGAATGACGCCGATGAGAGAGAAACTTTGATGAGATTGAAATTAAATCGATTGATTTGTAGGGAGGAATTCCATCCAGCAGTGGAGGCCGTTATGGGAGTTGCGTATGGGGCGGGGGGGGCCTAGTGCGGCCTTGGCGGGCGCCTCAATGCCTAGCGGCTTGCCTGGACGGTCGCGCCGTAGCGGGGGGCTCTGGCACCGCCTGCGGTTGCCTAGGAAAGAGGGGGGGGGGCAATTGGGTCTTCGTAACTAAAAATAACATTTTTTTAATTTTAAATAGATCTATTTAAAGATATCACCAGCGGCAGCATCAGTCTTAGTCAATCCGCTTTAATACACGTTAATACCTCAGTGGGCTTTAATCCTGTTAAAGTTAAAAAAATATATATACTATAAAATAATAAATTAATAAAATAAAATAACACAATAAAATTCTCACGACGTTTCGGCCACAACACAAGTGGCCTTCATCAGGTGAAGGGACGAGACTGTCTGGAGGACAGCGCTGATGAAGGCCACTTGTGTTGTGGCCGAAACGTCGTGAGAATTTTATTGTGATATTGAATTTTATTAATTTATTATTTTATTCTCATTTTACGTGACTCTACCGAAAGAACCAAAGAAGATGAATCCTTGCAGTCACGAAAGCTTTCAATCGAAAAATATATACTATAGTTTGATTTAAAGCTTTCGTGACTGCAGGGATTCATATTCTTGGTTCTTTCGGTAAAGTCACCACGTAGAAGGGAAACAATAAAATAATACAAATATTAAAAATATTAATGAAAATATTATTTTATTGTTTCCTTCTACGTGACTTTACCGAAGGAACCAAGAATATATACTATAATTTTCATAATAAAGGTTTTTGGGTTAGATCGCGTTCTAACCCAAAAACCTTTATTATGAATAATATTGGTAGCGAAAGCCTACGTGTTAAACATAACTATAGTTTCATTCGTATTTATATTTTTCTTTTAAAAAAATGATTTGTTTACTTTTTCTATACTTTTGCACTCCTGTCGTGCCTTTGTCTTTGTTGTAACGTTCTGATCCCTGGTTTGTTTTCTCGTTCGGTTGTACCTGATGATGCTTGCTTGTGTTGCAATCGAAACGTCGTATTCTATTATTATTTAATTTCTTTATACGTCACTTTACCGCAAGAACCAACGAGTAATTCCTGCAATCACGAAAGCTTCGAATCTAGTTGTTGTGTTTGTTGTTTGGGTGATTCGTTTACCCATTCTCTGGTCTGACACTGGCACATAGACAAGAACGTGAAGGCGGTTACAAGTCTCTGGTGTAGGCCAAATCAGTTTCAAAGACAATGAGTGCACATCATTATTTTACCATCCTGATCAGAGTGTTTTGCCACAATTACCCGTGGTTAGTGAATGCAGACTTGGCTCCTTTGCAAAATGATAGGCGTGTGTGTGTGTGATCTACTTTGGTGTTTGAACAACTTTAACACGACTCCCGTTTTGTTTACCACAAAGTGGTGATGTGCTGATCGCTTCTCATACCCAGGACGTGGAAATGTTTGTGGTTGTACGTTTTATCAATATTTTTTATCGGAGCACATTTGTGGTTGTACGTATTATTATTATTTTTGGAGCATGTTTGTGGTTGTACGTTTTATTATTTTCAGGGCACGTTTGTGGTTGTATACCACCAGTACCTGTGTAGTGTATGCAGACTTGATTTCTTAAAAAAAAAGACTCTACTTATGAACATTCGACTCAAAAACTTTGAGAGATACGAACAATCCTGGTCCGTATGTCAAGTTGCCTGTTAGGAACCGAGAATCGTTAGTTCAACTGCAGCGCAACAGATGGCTGTGGTGGCATCTAGATCTGTGGAACGTGAAGAACCAGTGGCATCTACATCTGTAGAACGTGAAGAACCAGTGGCATCTACATCTGTAGAACGTGAAGAACCAGTGGCATCTACATCTGCAGAACGTGAAGAACCAGTGGCATCTACATCTGTAGAACGTGAAGAATCAGTGGCATCTGTAGAACGTGAAGAACCAGTGACATTTACATCCGTAGAACGTGAAGAACAAGTGGTATTTACATCTGCAGAACGTGAAGAACCAGTGGCATCTACATCTGTAGAACGTGAAGAACCAGTGGTATTTACATCTGCAGAACGTGAAGAACCAGTGGCATCTACATCTGTAGAACGTGAAGAACCAGTGGCATCTACATCTGTAGAACGTGAAGAACAAGTGGCATCTACATCTGCAGTACGTGAAGAACCAGTGGCATCTACATCTGTAGAACGTGAAGAACCAGTGGCATCTACATCTGCAGAACGTGAAGAACCAGTGGCATCTACATCTGTAGAACGTGAAGAACCAGTGGCATCTACATCTGCAGAACACGAAGAACCAGTGTAATCAGCATCTGCGGAACGTGGAGAATCAGTGGCATCTACAGAACGTGAAGAACCAGTGGCATCTACGTCTACAGGAGATTATACAACGTTTAAAGCCATTCCCCGTGTTTAGTGTACACGCCATACAACACATTTGGAGTCGACGGGAGTACATTTGGGACTTGCGAACAAATTGACTTACGAACAGACGTCTGCAAGCTGACTCGTTTGTAAGTAGAGCAGTGCCTGTACATACCTGACGGTGGTGAAAGTATCGTTGAAGCAACAGCCCATGACGGGCAGGGAGTATAGTGCGTGCGTGTGGGGAGCGGTGGTGCAGCGGTTAGCGCTACGCAACCCGGCTATGACCCGAGTTCGATTCCCGCGCGCGGCCACCATCTTTTTGGCGCTTGAACATCTGGTTTTGCCAGCGAGGGGTTTGTGTACCGTGAACCTCGTATGGTTAAGGTTTACCCTTTCTGTCAATTAAACGGGTGTCAAGGTGTTAAAACAACAACACGGAGTATTGTTTAAAGGAATCCTGTCTGCATTAACCACACGGTACTTGTGGTGAACATGCAAAAAAAAACATGCTCTTATAATATATGATGCGTTGTCTTTGAAATGTATTGGTCCACGCCAGTGACGGCTTTCTTTTTGAGCCTAGTCTCAAACAGTTTTTATTTCAGTTTATTTATTTGGTATGGCCCTATGAGCCATTCGGCTCTTGAATCGGGTGCAACCACAACAAACAAAAATACAAAAACACAAGAAAACATCTTAAAGTGACTATATGTGACTGCAAACATAAAATCCATGAAAAAAACAGCAAAATATTCCTGAAAAAGCACCGTACTCCAACGCTGTGTGCAAAAATCCCAGTGGGATGCAAGTCAAACAACAGTGTTAGCTCACCCCTAGCTACAATATGGGACCTTTCTTGCCACTATCAAAATATAACAATAGGTTTTACTATTTATGGCAATAGCACAGGTGTTTAAAAAAAGATTTCGTTTGGTGTTTTAACATCTTAACTCCGTTTTCACCCAAAAACCTCTCTTGTGGATATCTTAACACCTGTTGCATTTCCAGAAAGGGTGAAACCTACTGTTATATTTTTATACTGGCAAGAAATGGTCCCATACTCTTCTGATTGATTTGTCATTCCAAGCAGCCATGGGAATGTTTTGTGTGTTCGCCCCGTGCTGTGTGTGAGCGTGGTTTTTTCGTCCGCTCTGCTGCGTGGGCGGCCGAAATTCTTTGTTGCCTTTCCAAAGTGCACGCACGTGATTTCCACGAGATGCTCCGCCACCCATAGCCGCCACCCCCCCCCCATCGCACCCGCTCGCTCCTCAAACCAGGAAGCTTTCAAGTTCTAGTTATTTTATCCATAAACTAAATGACTGCAGTCGGTCATCGATTGTCCGGCGGCTTCGGCGCGTGGAGGGTGTGAAGGGGGTGCCGGATTTTCAAAAAACGTCGGATAATCAGGATCAAACCCACGACCTCCTGCATACCAGGTGAGGTAGTTAACATCTCACCGTGGGGGGGGGGGGGGAGAGACACGCAAACTCCAAATATACAGCAGGCGTCCAGAGTTCAGGATCAGGATTGAACCCACGACCTCCTGCATATCGCGTGAGGTAGTTAACATCTCACCACAGGGAGAGAGACAGATACGCAAACTCCAAATATAGAGCAAGTGTCCGGGGTTCAGGATCGAACCCACAACCTCCTGCATACCGGGCGAGGTAGTTAACATCTCCCCGGCCGCCGCAGCTCCCAAATAACGCCACCCGTTGGCCCACCGTCGAGGATCGGGGGATGTTGTTCACAGTCCTCGGCGAAATCCGGGGAACTCGTCCCCACCAAATGAAGAACCGAGTTGTTGGGTTCATCACGCAGCTGTGCTTATGCAATACAACTGCGGTGGCGGAGGAGGAAGTACTGAGTTGGATGCACAGCCTGAGGTGGGAATTGGCTCGGGTTCTCGCTGCGCGCGTCTCGTGTGTCTGTGTGGGGAGCGGTGGTGGTACCGGTTAGTGCTACGCTGTTCTACGAACCCAGCAAACCCGGGTTGGATTCCTGCTCACGGCCAACACCGGTGACGATTATCCGAACCGGTCGACTCCGCCTCAAATGGGTACCTGGTGCGATGGGTAAACATCGCCACAGGCGGGACCGGGCGTGGTGCTGGCCACCCCACCCCCTCGTGTGCCACAGTGCCGGCCTTCATAGGCGCTGCCTACTCGCCAACAGCACTTGCCCCCCAACAGTCTGTTAAGGCAACACGGGG